GGGTGGGGTTGGCTTTGGGAAGGAGCTCGGGGCCGGGGCGATGAAGGCGGCGGGGTATCAAAGGGGGGAAGGCTTAGGGGATGGCTTTGGAGCGGGGGTTGCTGGCCTGGAGTGTGGGCTTGACAAGGGGCTGAGGCATCTGTGTGTTGAGGTGGTACAGGCGGTGCTAGGGAGGAGGTTTGTGGGAGTGGCGTGGCACAAAAATTGGGCAGGCGTGGGAATGCGGTCCGGGACGCTTCAATGGCGCGACGCGGCAACAGGAGCAGGCCTGGGCAGCTTCCTGCTGGCTGGTGACAGCGCTTCGAGCCGCCAGCGGGCAGCGCCACTCACACGTGTTCGGACAGTCATTGTCATCGCGCGTGCCATCGCCACTCACCGTTCGCTGGGGAGGGCACCTGGCCTGAGTCACACATTGTCCCCCTCCCCTTCCACGTACCCTCATCCCTCCCCACTGCGTGTGCAATGCCCACACACACTCACACACTCACACACACACTGTTGCACATACAAACACACACACAACACACTGTTGCACACACAGTGTCCAACACAGACACTGTCACACTCAAGACACTCTCACCCACACCACCACTGTCCCACCCCTCCTCACCCCCCCCCCAAAAGGGAGCCCGAGGAGACCAAGGAGGCCGAGGCGGAGGAGGCCGGCGACTACGGAGAGTTTGGCGCCCTGCCCGCCCCCGCAGCCACCGACAACTGGGCCGCCGCGGCGCCCGGCTACGACGCCACCGGCGGCGCCGCGCCCGGCTTCGAGGCGGCCGAGGGCGGGTTCGAGGCCGTGCCCGCGACGGGCTTCGAGGCCGCGCCCGCGCCCGAGGCGTTCGCCACGGCGAATGCGGCCTTTGCCTCCGGCTTCGAGTAGGCGCCCGCTCTGCGGGCAGAGATGCGGCCTACAGCCTGGTGGCTGGTCGGCCCCACCGCTCAACGGCAAGCCTGGGGCCCTGAGGCGCGTCTGCGCGGCGGGGAGCTGCGGTCATCCGGCGGCGGCGGCGGAGGGGCAGCGTAGAAGGGGAGAGGCGGGCGGCCCTCGAGCGGCGGCAGCAGCCGCAGCAGCAGCAGCAGCAGCAGCAGCAGCAAGAGCAGCTTGAGCGGTGCTCGGCGCGCCGGAGGCCCCTATTGTGTGGGGCAGGGACCTTGCGGTCTGTAATGCGCTTCTGGTACTCTGCGCAGCCATGGCTTCCCCCATGGGGCCCGAGCGTGGAGCTGCTAGGTCGGGTTGCCAGATAGTCAATGCCGAAGGGATTACCCAGGATGCGTCAGCGTACAGAGCAAGGGGTTGAGTTCAGGCCGAAACGGCAGCCGGCCGCCGAAAACCTGCCAGCTGTGGTGTGCCACAGCAGCTCATTTGGACAGCACGATTCGGAATCTAGCGCGTCGCTCGGCGGTGCAAATGCCTCGACCGATCGGCGAGCGCTGCGGTGCGGCGAACGGAACTCACGGGACGCGGTGAAAAGCGCACTGGAGGCGCGCAGGGGCGAAGGGGGGGCAAAAGGTATAACAAAGGGAGCGCCAGCCTCTCCCGCCTGGGCGATGATGTGGAAATAAGTGTGTGAACAACAGCTAGGCAGACCGAGAAAACATGTTGCCCCGGCCGGGTGCCCCGACGGGTGCGTGACTCGGCCCCCGTGCCGGCAGCTGCGTGTGTTGAGTGTCGAACTGATGGCTGCATCATGGGCCGACACGATCGTAGCGCGGCATCACCCGCTGTTACGGCAATACACGTGCTTCAATGTGGCCCGCCAACAGCGTGTCGGCCGCGCGCCGCCCCCCACCGCCACCGCCCCGGCCACGGTACCGGCAGCGGAACGGGCACTGGCGTCGGCCAGCCGCCGCGCCAGCGGCGCGGCCCGCAGTTCACTGTGGGCGGGGCGGGGATGGGGCGCCCGATGCTGTCCGCTAGCGCGAACGCGCCGGAGCCAAGCGGCTCTTTCGCAATGCAAATCCAAATTTGTTTGAGGTCGGGAATTGCTTCGCAGCCCCAGGTTCACATGCCATATGCACAAAAATCCACAGAGAAATTAACAGCCGCATTGACGGCCACCCACTCGCGCGCAAAGTGAGCCTGATGCTGCTAGCAATTGCAACAGTTGTGTTCAACCGACAGATGGACCCACTGCTCGTGCCAAAGGCTGGCCCAGTCGTGTGCGCACACACATGTGGACCGTGTCAGCAAAACACGCCTGAGTTGCAGCAGGTCTGGGACCCGCCGCCGCCGAAAAAGCCGAACCCGCCCCAGCCGCCGCTGCCACCTGCATAAGGCAAGGGAGATGACCGGGTTTGTGCGAGTGCAGGGCGGCCACTCCTTCAGGTGGGCCGCATGAAAGAGGTAGGTGTAGTGTGCACAGTGTGCAATGGGGCAGTTGCAGGCGCCTGAGCAGAGGCTCTCGCTGGCATGTGCCTGACTGAAGGGCGGACGCAACCCCCTGTGATGGATTGCGGCCACAGCTGATGGTTTGATATTGCGCGTGACATGCACACTCACATCGTTGGCCCGCCGAGCAGCAAGTACCCCCGCATATCGGCCCGCTGCAGCAAATGTTGTTCTGGCAAGTCTGCGCGCAGTGGGGTGCATGGGCAGCGGGGTGGTCACGTAGGCGACGGCACAGCACACCAGACTCAGGCCAAATAGCATCTGTGAGCCATGCACAAAACATCTGCGGCGGTGCAAAATCGTTTGCAGGAGTGGGGATGGGCGGCGCTCCAATAGTATCCGACGGCCCAGGGTGGCGCTCCACAACGCCAGGTCGTTCCTGACGCCCGCCGGCCCGCCATCTCAACAGCGCCAGGAGCGCTGGCACGTTGCCGCACCGGCCGCGCAACACGGGTGCGGCGAGGTGCGCGGCACTCCCTGCTAAGGGGGCTGCGCGGGCGTGCTCACCGAGCCTGAGGGGCAGCAGGAGCTGCCGCAGCAGCTGCTGGTGATCGGGCACTGCACGCCGCCTGGGGAGCAGTGGGGCGGGGTGCGTGGCGAACGCCGTTGAAGAAGCGGCCGAGTCAGCGGTGGGTCTCTTCGCTGCCACGCTCTACGGTGAACAAACGCCATCGATAGCGTGTTGAATTGAGGAGCTCCCCGTGCAAGAATCATGCAAGATGGGGCGTGCGCGGCATCAGAGCGCTCACCGGGGCATAACTGCGTGTTGGGTGGCACGCACTGGTTCTGCTGGCATGTGTTGTCCCTGGGGCAGCACCTGGGAGTGGCGGACGAGCGCATTGGGGGGGGGGGGTGAGAAGGTGTGCATCAGCAAGAACGCACTCAAGAGGAACGCCCCAGGCGCAGGCTGGTCCGTGTGACGCTGCGCGCACGAGGCTGTTACACGGCAACGACTGCGTTGCATTCACGAGTGGCACGCCACTGACGTCTGAGACGGCCCGTCGGTCGCAGTCGGTTCCCAGGGGGGCGCGCACTTGTTCCCGCAGCTGACGTTGTCACTGGGGCAGCACGTGTTGCCCTTGCAGGACGTGCCGGGCGGGCCTGGTGAGTCGGGGAGTGACGGGAAGGTACAGGTCTCAACAACCTGGGTCCCAAGAACATCAGGACGGCCAATCTGGACGGCGGCGTGTGAGGGGTATGATGGCCGTGTGGCGCCGCCACGGCGTGCGCGGCCGACCCTAAGCCCACGCATACCCTGGTGGCCAACCAGCATGCTCAGTGAGCAGCGGGGGCATCGCCAGGCTCTCCCTGCTGCCCCCGTTTCCTCGGCCCGCCGACAGACCCATCAGCGGCAGAAGCAGTGCCCGCGCTCACATATGGTGCCGGAGCACTCTGTCGAGCCCTCCGCGACGCACTGGTTCAGGATGCAGGGGGACGTACCGCCGCAGCACCTCCCGCCGCACAGGCGCGACCCCGCGGCGCAGCACACCCCGCTGGCGATGCAGTCCTCGCCCGCCAGGCACACCCGGTCGCCACACCTGCATGTGCACGAGATTGGTGATCATCGCTTTGGCTGGGCGGTGCAGGAGATGCGCGTCCGGTAGATGATTGATAGACCAAACTTTGCAGACGCACTCACGCGCGCATGTGTCTATGACCTGCGCGGGGGTCGGGCAAGACCCAAGGTGGCGGTCGCACTGCCGCCGCAAGGGGGCCGAGCGGCGAGTGCTGACGTCACCATCGCTCACTCTCTCGCGCCCTGGTCGTAGCACGCCCCGCGTATGCAGCTCTGGCCGCTCTTGCAGCACTTGTTGCCGCCGCAGCACGTCTGGCCCTGCTGCTGGCAGCACTCATTTCCGCAGAGCGCCGTCTGTCTGCAGCAGCTCTTGCCGGCCAGACAGAACTCCTGGGGCCCGCAGCAGGCCTGCGTGGCTTGCGGCCCGCACTGTGTGTGGTCGATGCAGGCAGGCCGGGGCAGGGCGGAGAAGCGGGCAGGTGAGACGACGAGACCGAGGAAGAGGGAGACAGCAGCGGCCGTCCCTTTGACACTTTGGCGCCATGCTGCGCCGTTTACACCTGGCGAGCACGGAGCAAGCGCAGCCCCGCAAGTCCCAGCACGTGGCCCGTGCCGGGCATCGCAGCACGCCCACAGGAGGGCCAGCGGCGCAGTCGACACTGGCCTATTTAGATCGGCTGCGTGTGCATGTGTGCGTATGCACTTGCACGTGTCCATGTGTGCAGGCCAAAACCACTGCACAAGGCACCCTGAGAGACAGCAGACCCTCCACACCCCTGAAGCCACCCACCAGCTTGTCTTGATCACAGGTGGAGAGCCACGCAAACGTGCGGGTGTCGGTGCAGGCGCCGTTGAGGCAGCGGCTGCCGGTGGGGCAGCAGAATGCGCCTGAGAAGGCGGTCTGGCAGATGGCCTCTGGAGGGCAGCAGCCGCCAAGCTGAGTCTTGATCACGCCGCCTGGGGTTGGGCGGAGCAGCAAGGTGTGAGTTGCGGAGGATGGTCGGGACCCCGCGTAAGCAAAGGTTTGCTTCGCTTTCGTCGGGCGAGGTGCGCGGGTAGACTACGCGCGCTCGTGCTTGATCCCCGCACGCCCACTGCAGCGCCGCCCAGCAGGTGCCCAAGATAGCCCAGCCAGCGGGTTGCACGCGCGGCCCTGTGCTGCGTGCACCTGCCCTGCGCTCACCCTTTGCGCAGCACCTCTGGCTGACCGGGTCGCACTCGCCCTCTGTGCAGCAGGTCGACCCGCACACGCTCTCGCGCCTGCAGCAGCCCTGGTCCGTCCGCAGCTGCCCCGCCGGGCAGCAGGCGCCGCCGGAGGCCTGGTTGGCGGGGCAGCAGGTCTTGCCGGTGCAGGTGAAGCCGTCTGGGCAGCAGACGCCGCCGTCGCAGATGCGGGTGGCCGGGCAGCAGGTGCCGCCGACACAGGACTCCCAAGACTTGCAGCAGTCGACGCCGCAGCGCATGCCCTGGTCGCACGCTGGGGAGGGGGCGCATGAGGAGGCGGCGTCGGGAGTAAGGGAGTTCGCAGTCCGGGCGTGTTGTTTCGTGATGTTGGGCTGTAGAAAATCCGGGACACAGGTTGGCGGACGGAGATCAGCCGAAGCTGGGGCGCACGGCGAAGCAGCGGGCGTCAATTGTCAGGGTGTGGGGCGCGCCATGCCGCGACTCACGGGCCTGGCTGGGGTCGAAGTCGCGCAGGCGGCGCGCGGCCGCCAGCCCGGGCGCCAGCGCTGCCAAGCTGCTGTCGCTGGTGGCGTGCTCACACAGGATTCTGCATGGTGTATTGGGTGGGGCGCGCAGATGACGCGTGAGGGCTGCGCACAGCCCTGAGGGGCTGGGATCCAGGGTCGAACAACCACAGATGCTGCCGCCGTTGACAAGAGCAGGCGCAAGCGGCTGCGGCGGGGAGTGGGTGTGCGCGTTGGCAGCCAGCAAGGCGGGGTTGCCGTGGCTGCAAAGGGCCTATTGACGGAGC